CTCAAGGCGCGTTTGCTGGACATTGGGGTACCTGGTTTCTCGTGTGTGTGTGTGTGTGTGTGTGTGTGTTTGTGTGTGTGTGTGTGTGTGTGTGTGTGTGTGTGTATGCGCGGGCGCGCGCGTTTGCACTCACATTTCCTTTGTCGTTTGTTTATTCGGTTTGCAAACTTTACTGAGAAGTTTGCAACCACCTCTGTGGTTTAGAACAGTGTTTCCCAACCTTGGCAATCTGAAGATGTCCGGACTTCAACTCCCAGAATTCCCCAGCCAGCGAAAGCTGGCTGGGGAATTCTGGGAGTTGAAGTCCGGACATCTTCAAGTTGCCAAGGTTGGGAAACACTGGTTTAGAACATAGAATAACAAGAGTTGGAAGGGACCTTGGAGGTCATCTAGTCCCAACACCCTGCTCAAGCAGGAAAGTCTCTACCATTTCAGAAAAACGACTGTCCAGTCTCTTCTTGAAAGCCTCCAGGGATGGGGGCACCCACAACTTCTGAAGGCAAGCTATTCCACTGGTTGATTGTTCTCACCATTAGGAAATTTCTCCTTAGTTCTAGTTCGCTTCTCTTCTTGGTTAGGGTTCCATCTCTGGGTGCCTGGCCTGAGACAGGACACTGTGCTTCTACTGGACGGGCGCAAAGCTCTCATGGCATGGGTCGAAACAAATGGGATACCTGATGATACCTTCAAGCAAACTTTGAAACTTTGGTCACTCTCCATACCAATGATTTTTTTTTAAACAAAATGCAAATTAAAGCTGAACACAGCAGATAAGGACAATTGCAAGCACATTGATTAAAGCTGAGTGGGGCAGTGAGAGGTTTAAGAACATGGCAGTTGGGGAGGGGGGGGAACTCTATGGTGCCTTCTCCATTCCTAGGTGCACTGAGCATATGCCGAGTGATGGGAAAAGCAACCATAAATGCTCTCCCTCAATGTGGGTGGGGCATATTTAGACACTTTGCACAGAGCAGTGGGTTTGGCAAAGATGGCAAAACATGCTGACTGGAGTGGGATGAAGGAAGGATGAAGAGGGAGGGACATCTCCAGATGCTTCTTGGAATCTCTGCAAAACCGCTAAACCCACGTTCAAAAATAATCTGGCTAGAAGGCATAGGAGGAGTTATGTGGTTAAAATAAGAGACTTAACTCCACAAGTCCATTCTTTTCGAGGACTGTAAGCACTGATTATACTAACACGAGTGGCAACACATCCATTCCTAACCTGATGACCAAGAAGGGCGGAAAGATCTGTCCCAGAGCTAATTGAAATTGGTCTAAGAACCCTGGCCGCTGCAAGAGCCAAAGCCAGAATCAATAAACCCCATGCTACCACTGCCCTCCACTGAGAACCACATGGGTCATTGCCCTTAAATCCAATGAAAGGGCACCGAAAGAGCTTTTTCAGAAGGCAACTGGACTTTCTTGTTTTTTCTTTGAAGACTTTTTGCTTCTCATCCAAGAAGCTTCTTCAGCTCTGACAGGATGGTGGGGAATGGAAGGATTTATACTCCTTGCAGACAGCAGATAATTTATATCCTTTTAGAGCAGTGTTTCTCAACCTTGGCAACTTTAAGTCCTGTGGACTTCAAAGCTGTGCTGGCTGGGGGATTCTGGGAGTCGAAGTCCACAGGACTTAAAGTCGCCAAGGTTGAGAAACAATATTTTAGAGGGTTATCCTTTAAAAGGGCCGCTGAGCTTGTTGATCAGAAAGGTTCGCAGTTTGGCAATCCTAGAGCCGCGTAACAGAGTGAGTTCCCGTTACTTGTCCCAGCTTCTGCCAACCTAGCAGTTCGAAAGCACATAAAGATGCAAGTAGAAAAATATGAACAATCTTTGGCGGGAAGGTAACAGCGCTCCATGCGCCTTCGGCATTTAATCATGCCAGCCACAAGACCACGGAGACGTCTTTGGACAGCCCTATAGCAATAGCAATAGCAGTTAGACTTATATACCGCTTCATAGGGCTTTCAGCCCTCTCTAAGTGGTTTACAGAGTCAGCATATTGCCCCCACAGTCTGGGTCCTCATTTCACCCACCTCGGAAGGATGGAAGGCTGAGTCAACCTTGAGCCGGTGAGATTTGAAATGCTGAACTGCAGTTAACAGTCAGCTGAAGTGGCCTGCAGTACTGCACCCTAACCACTGCACCACCTCAGCTCTTCAAAAGCCCTAGCTTTTCAGCTTTGAAACAGAGATGAGCACCGGCCCCTGGAGTTGGTAACAAATAGCACATATGTGTGAGGGGAGCCTTTACCTTTACCCAAAGGGTCATTGAAGCACTTGGAGACTTATCTTTGTCCTCGGCGTCACCTGAGTTGTGGTCCTGGGTTTT